TTTCCCTGAGACAGGGTCTCGCTAAGTTGGCCAGATAAGGCTGGAACTTGCTATCGTCCTGTATCAGCCTCCCAGAGTGCTGGAATTACAGGCATGGATCACCAGGGTTGAGAAATTCTAAATTCCTGTCTTCTAGTTTTTTATAAAATATATAATAAATTATTGTAAACTGTAGCCACCCTAATGTACTGGAGAACAGAACTCATTCCTTCTATGTAATTACATTTTGGTACTCATTACCTGACCCTCCATTATCCAAGTCACCCCCTTTAAAGTATAAATCATGTCTGGTCACTCTTCTCTCCACAGCTTTCCAATGGTTTCCTATTGTCCTAAAAATAAAATCTAAACCTCTTACAATAGTATAAAAGATCTTTTATGATCTGGACCCTGTCTGCCTCCCTGTCCTCACTTCATACGACTCCTCCCTTGCTCAAACACTCTTGTCTGTTTCTCCATTCTAGCTGAAAGCCTCTGCACTTGCTATGAGTCTGATATGATTGGACCACTCTGCTCTCTCATTTTACCAGGTCTTCCTCCTCCACATTCAGGGCTCAGGTTAAGCATCACTCCTCACAGAGACCTTGGTCATCTATCAACATGAAGTAACTGCCTCCTGGCCCCACTTTCTTTCACATTGCCCTATTTTATTTCTTTTATAATACTTAGAGCATCTTACTTTTCCTACAAACTCTCTACCCTACATTCTTCATCTCTTCTGACGAAGGAGCTCCCATATTCTTACATCTCCCTTTCCCTCTGGACCACACTTGGTTGGCCCAGAATAGGCTTGACCCAGCTGGACCACAGTCTTCCTATAATTTTCAGAGATGAAATTGAGAAAGTCAATTTCTAATGGCAGACCTTGTCTGATATAAAACTCAGCAACTGCTAGTGGTTGTATTTCCAGAAATTAGTCTACAAAGAGCCAATGATATGCACATGATGATTGGAAGAAAAGTAAGTGATTTTTGAAAGTGCTGTGTGTTTTGTTTGCATTTTTGGTTGTTTTGAAGATGTAAATTATGCTCTAGATACTCAGCATCAATATTTTCCTTGAGAAATTAAGAGGCTACATGTGCCAAATTAAACCTCTCCTTTAAATGAACCAAAAGGCTGGAGTTAATCTAATTTGTACTTTCTTATTTTTTAACAAGGTTCTCACATGTAGATGCTTCATATGTGTCTTTTGATGATAAAGATGAACATGCCAACTGCAGAGTAGGAGGTCAGATGCTCTCCACTGAAAGCATGCTTTGATACTGAATGGGAAAATGGGAGTCAAAATTATAGAGAGTAGAAGTGATCAAGTGCAAGATCTATTTGGGCTTTAATAGATAATGAAGCACTAAGTTCTGTTGCAAAAAACACATATTCAGAGGCGAGGTGAAAAATGTTTTCAATAACTGTATACCACTTGTATTCTTAGGTCCATTTTAACCTTTAAAGAAATCAATCCAGTGGAACACATTCTAATTAAATATAATTATATAAACTATGTGCTTGGAACTGTAAAGGATACAGAGATGATTAAGGCAGAAACTCAGTCATTTCATTTATTAAAGGGCAGATTTTTAAGAAGTGCATAAAATAAGTAATTAAATTACAAGGTAGCTGTGATGCTTCTACGTAAGTTCACATAAAATGCAATGGTGCCAGGGCGGGGGTGGAGGTTCATAGTCAACAAAAGTCTTACTCATTTGTAGGAGTCAGGAAAAGTTGCACAGCTAAGTTAGGAATATGAGCTGCACCTTGAAGGATGTGAAGGGCTGCAAAGGTCAGAGACAGCATATGGAATCATCTCAGCCTGAAGGATAGCACAGAGGTGAATGAGGCAAGAAGTGGAAAGGCCTGAAGAAGGAGTTCTGTTAATGAAACAATTGAACGACTGAGAGCATCACTAATCACAGAATTTGGGAAGTTTAGAGGACAGGATATTATGTTCAGTTTCAGAAATTTTGTTTGAGATAGCAGCAGAATATCCTCTTAGGTGGTACAGGAAGAAGTTAAAATATGACGCTAATTTTCAGTGTGTACATTAATACTGAATTTAGAATGTAAATAAAACCACATTTTATACAAAGTAGCTATGAGCGTTATTGGGGCATTATTTGGAACTGATGATGATCACAGGCTCTACAATATGGTGAGAAATCGTAAGACAGAGGAGAGAGAGAAACATCACCATCACCTGGGGTTGAAAATCAAGTTGAAATGAGGGAAAACTCTGTTTCCCTAATATGTTCAACTCAAATAACAAGTCTCAATTTCCATCCTTCAATCTACAGGAATTCCATTCTATATGCAGATTTTATTCAAATTTCTATAATAATAATAATACGTGTCACGAGCCCTTACTAGGTCATTGCTTTGGCTCTGTGGCTACTTCTTATCTTGCATCACATCACGGAGCTTCTGAGTGCTGATTTTCTCTCTCCTCCACGCATAGACACAGACTCCACTGCTAAGACTAAATTGAAAGCCTGGGGATCACAGCTGGGAAATGACAAGTGGAAAAGAAACTTACAAGAGGATAGCATTAGATGTTATTGCTCATAATGTGCTGGCTTTTCTGTTGGGGACGTTAGTGGCTATCTCTCCCTTAACTTCCCATCCAGAAACTATATTACAGGGCATACTATACTTCTAAACCTCCATATTGGTCCACCTGGTGTCTAAATTCCTAACTCTTACCTAGATTCAGGGAGAAAATCAGACCTTTCTTCAGGGAGAAAAGCAGAGCTCTCTCTTTCTTAGTTTAATGTGGTCTTCCTTTCTTGACCCAAGAGAGTACATAATTAGGACACTCAGTTCCCTTACAGAATTCTTACCTTCATCCAGAATTAGTATAGTCACTGAATAATAGAATATTAGGTAAAAGTAATTTACTTTATTTATTTTTTTTAGTTTATTGGTACATTTTAGGTGTACAGTACAGTTACATTCATTATTGGGATCTTGTACCTTTACATGATAGGTCGTGGTTCTCATTTTTTCCCTTTACCCCTGCCCTCCCTTCACCCCCTCCTCCCCTCCCCATTTACAAACACTTTATTTCTATTTTTTCATTTTCTCATATTTTTTCCTTTTCCCTTATTACCTTTCCTCTACCCTTTCCACTTTCCCTACACTTTTAGCCCTTTTCTTTCTATTTTACATTGTCAATTATGTTGTGGGGAGAAAGGAACCCTTCTCTGTCGCGAGCCGCAACGTCAGAATCCTGCCAGCAGGTCCCAAACCCGAGGGAAGAACAACAGGAGAGCAAACAGTCTCACAGACGTAGTCCCAGGCTCATGCTCTCTCCGTAGCAAGGCCCCGTTTATTTTTCAGGGTGGAGTATATATAGGATAAAACCAAAACCAAAAGTGTCAATAGGGTGTAGCTGACTGCAAAGGTCACAATGCTCTACAAAACAAGTATTATGGGTTACATTTGCTAGGCAACAGGTCAGACCACCAGTTGAACTAGCCCATTGCTATGGGCGACGGTACTTCCGTGCCAGCGAGGTGACTCAAAGTTCAATCATGGCTGTGCTTATGTCAAGGATCACCACAATTCCCCCAGTTGTCTTTGATAGCATCAAGAATGCTAGCAATAGGCCGTTCATCATGCATAAGCCAAGGAACCTCTGTCTTAGGCGGCAGAAATCTTCCATCTCCTTACCCATCATCAGTCGTAGGGCTTATGTCCCAATACGACCTGTCTTAGGTTGGTAGACAGAAACTTCCGTCCTTACCCGTCACTGAGTATCCCGAGGCAGGGGATCTAGGCACGTCGAGCCTGAGCCAAATAGATTGCTACGCGTGTTGCATCATCACCTAAAGAAGCCTGTACAGCCATAGCTAGTCGTCTGTCGCGAAACACAAAAGATTGACACATTCCTGTCATCCTGCGACTCATACAACAACCACAAATACAAAGAACCATCAAAACTACAATGATCACCAATACAGGAGCAAACACCACAGAAAAATACTGTTCAGCGGCAGTACCGAAATGTTGGACTGAGGAAAACGTGAATCTGCTCACCAAAGTCCCACAGATAAGCCTAAGTCCATGGAATATTCGAGTGACCAGTCCAAAAACCCTTGAGATGTCCTATTAAATCACCAGTCCCATTAAATCCTTGTTCTGGACAATAAAGTCTCCGCTTGTGCACCAAGACACATCCTGGAGTTCTCTCTGCTGCTCCAGTGTTGGGGTCCCAATCCAGTCTCCTCAGTGGAAATCCAGCTTCAAGCTGTTCAGGGATAGTGGTAGGTCTATAAATGTACCTGTAACGATAAGTAGGTGGAGCAGAAGAGAGGAGAATACCAGGACCAAAAGGTTATTATCATAAACAATATGCTGGAAAACCTGCATGGTCAAACAATATAAATACATTTTGTATACCAGAAAAGTAGCAATAATACGAATTCTTATATCCTGTAATGTAGCTTTGTATTAACAGGATCCCCCCCCTTTTTTTTTAAAAACAAAATACTACATTTTGAAGATAACCATCAGAAACATGCTACAATAACATTTCTACAATTCAGACCTTTGATAACCAGCAAAACATTCCCAACAACATATTCAACAAGATATATCTTTTTATAAGGCTATGAAAATTATTTTGGTGGCTCCCATTAGTGAACAAGGATCAGAATAAATTTTCTGAGCAGCTGCTTCTTTATTTACCAACAGGAGCGTATCCAAACTTAAAGGTTATATTTAATTATCTTTTAAGTTTTTTATTTGATCCTATAAAACCAGGTTGTAGAAATCAACAATCCACTTGCAATTGACGTCATTCTGATCAAAAACATACAAACATCTTTGAACATTTAAGACAGACAAACATACAACACTTAAGACAGACAAACATATAAGACAGTTTTAACGAGTGCACTCAGATGGTGTTGGCCAATTGAATTATAAAATCTCTTTGTTATGACTAGTCAAATTTTTGCAGATCAAAATTAACAGAGATCTCTGGTAGAATTAGGGTTAAAGGAATGAATACTCTTCTTGACTATAAATGTAAACCTTTTATAACAAACTTGAAACCAACAACCAACAAGCAAAATCATTTCCATAAACATTCTCTACATTCTTAGGTAAAGACAAGAGGAACATACAAAAACCTTTCATGTCAAAAGTACAACTCTTACTTATAGCTTTCCTAATATTTTTCTATCTCATTTACTATTAACCTTCTAGAACAAACTATTTTGTTCTTTATTTTGATCTATAGTCAGTTTAGCACATACCCTTGCTTGGAGTGTGTGTGGGGAGGGACAGACTGGTCAACAGATACAAAGTCAAAGTCACAGCCAGATGGGAAGAATAAGTTCTCGCATTCTATTACACTGATTATTATAGTCAACAATACTGAAGAGTACTTCAGCATGGCTACAAGACAGGATTCTGAATGTTCTCATCACTAAGAAATGATAAATGTTCGAAATGATAGATAACCTAAGCATCCTGAGTTGATCATTTCACAATATGTAAATGTAATAAAATACTACACTGTATCACATAATGATATACAAGATTATCTCAATAAAATAATTTAAAAGAAATCCTACAAATCCATACAATTTGTGTGTCAAAAGCTATTAT